TTTATCAAACTTGGAAAGAAAAAAATGATTTTCGCCAGAAAAAAGGTAAAAAGATTTTCAAAACAAAAACAGTATGAGCATGCAATATAGCAACAAAAATAGTGAGAAATGAAAGCTTACCTTTTGCGTGCAATGAAAGCTTTCTCTCGGATTTTGGTGTTTAAGTTCAGAGGCGACGATGAAGACAAGAGGAAGACGATGAGATACTCTGACAGTGCTCTGACAAGGAAAAAAGACGAAAAGTTTTCTCTGGGAGATTGAAATGTTTTCTCGGGTTTGGAAACAGTGCATGTGTAAGTCAGGTAGACGAAAAGTTGTATATGTATACAAACCGTTTCATAGTAATAAGACGGCGGTTTACATAGAACGACGACGTATTAATAGACAAACTACGACGCTAATTTGAACTTATGACGTGGTACATAAATACGACCGTAGTGTTGTAGGTACCGCCGTAGTAAACTCCTAAATAAAAGTCGATAACTCAATATCTCGCGTCATGGTAGAAATATTTAACACGACGGTTGTTTTAAAGTTACGACGTTTATTTTTATAATATACGTCGTTTTATTGTAATATACCGACGTGGATAACACTAAACTAAAACGACGTATTATTTTTCCGACGACGTGGATTCGTTTTTAAACGTCGTTATGTGTAATATAACCGACGTGGATTTTATTTTTTTATTATAAATATAATTCTTTTCCCCTTTTTCTTATAGTGTATTTTTCAAAAACAGTGCCTTATAGATATAGTTTTTTTTCCCGAGGAAATTAATGTTCTAGAATTTGTAAAGTTTCTTTTCTAGGTGACTGATTTAAATCAAATAAAAATATAAAACAACGACTGTTTTTGTTATACCGTCGTCGTTTCTTGTCGTTTTAAGTAAGAATAAAACGACGTAATATATTTGTTACCGACGAGAATTGTTTTTTTTAAACGTCGTTATGTGTAATATAACCGACGTGGATTTGGTTTTTAATTATAAATAGGGTTTTTTTCCACGGGTTCTTTCAGTTTTAGTATTCGATTAGGGTTTCAACTTCTTCTTGCCCCTTTCTCTGTCTCACCTCATCTCTTGGGAAGTTTTAGGAGTCAATTGTTTGGATGTGAATGTGTGTGTGCGTTTGTGTAGATACACAAACGCACATACATCATTCACTTCCAAAAAATTGTCTCTCTGATTGCAAATCTGTGGCTGCCGTCATGAAATTTTAGGAGGCAATTGTTTGGATGTGAATGTGTGTGTGCGTTTGTGTAGATACACAAACGCACACACATCATTCACTTCCAAAAAATTGTCTCTCTGATTGCAAATCTGTGGCTGCCGTCGTGAAATTTTAGGAGGCAATTGTTTGGATGTTGATGTGTGCGTGCGTTTGTGTAGATACACAAACGCACACATATCATCAACTTCCAAAAAATTGTCTCTCTGATTGCAAATCTGAGGCTGCCGTCGTCAAATTTCAGAGGCAATTTTTTGGATGTTAATGTGTATGTGCGTTTGTGTATCTCAAAGACACAAATACACATACATCATTAACCTCTAAAATATTGTCTTTCTGGTAAGATTATAATGAGCAACAGATCTGGAGTTCCATCTTGTAAGATTTCCTAACCCTTGTGATCTCAGAATAATCTGATTATGTCGGCGGTTTTCTATATAAACCGTCGTGGTTATTTCAATTCTTGTCGTTAGGTAGATCTACCGACGTAGGATAACAAAATCGAAGAAATAAATTTTAAAAAAAATTCTTATTCAGACGACGGTTTAAATATAATTTATGACGTATAAAGTGGACAAATACGACGTTAAATTCTATAATACGTCGTTATATGAAAACCCCAACTTGGTAAGATTGAAAGATGTCGTCGTAGAAATACGAGAAAGACGTCGTTATATTTACCTTTGCCGTAGTTGTACATTAATTTAATACGGCGGTATTTTGTATTTTACCGCCGTGGATTTATTTGTAATTTTACGTCGCCTTATACGAAAACTTGGTCGTGTTAATTTCTGGGTAAAAACGACGGCTTTTTTGAAACCGTCGTCTTTACTTTCTACGTCGGTCGGTTCATAACTTCCGCCGTTATTTGTTGGCTATGATTTTACCTCATGAAAATCCTATTTCAATAAGACGTCGGTTTTTTAATTAAGTACGTCGTGTTTTTGGAACAGCCATTTGAAACTCCATTTTTTAGTTGTCTAATGTGTTATTACACGGCGGTTTTATAAAACCGTCGTCTTTTAAAAAACAACGACGGTTTTCACGTAGACCGTCGTGTTTTTGTGGTCGTCTTTTTCACTTTTTGTAGTAGTGAAAAAAAATTCATGCTTGCTATTCGTAATGAGTTAAGTAGGTCAATCTGGCCAAAAAAACCAGATCAAACAAAGGCATCAAAAAGTCTGGTTCCTTATCTTCAAGACATAATATATATTTGTTATTAAAATAACCAAAAATGTGAAAAAATTGGAATATGAGACCCTTAAGCCACTGCCATTTCCAGTGGTAGAAGAGAGTTGTGGTATGTTTTGTTTTGTTTTTATGAGTGGCATACTGATACTAAAATGTCATGCTTAGAGTATCTCCAAGGGAAGAGGCAAAAGAATAGGCAAACATCATTTGCCCTATTACATCATTATTTTCATGCTCCGCGGGAGGAGACAAATGGGTAAACAAAATATACCTATTCTCCCCAATAAGGCAATATTGCCTACTTTTTTTTTCTTTTTTTTTATGAAAAGGAATTTCATTCAATAATCAAATAGCATAATACACAAAGAAGAAAACAAAAAGATGTGCAAGTTTTGGCCTCTGTAAAAAACCTTAGCATACAAAACCCCCAAAAAAGGAGGAAAATCCGCCAAAGGAAAAAGAGCACCTCCCACTTGCCATCAAACATAAAGATCAACCATTAGCTTTTAGATATGCAGAAAGAAAAGGAGTTAGCCATAATGGCTCCTCCTCAATCTGTGTGAAAAACCAGCATTCCGAGTGCCAAATTGAGCTAGCTCATGGGCAACCTTGTTAACTTCAAAGTGAATAAGTATATTGGGCCCCACATATTTTTATTATTATAAATTTTTATTTTATTTTTTGTGGTGAGAGGTTATCCCCATAATTTGTTGCTGTGCATACTGAACAACCACATAGAAGGGAGAAATGCGAGTGCAATCATAGATTGTCTCGAAAAGGGTATGTTGGTTTGGAAGACCAATTGGAGAAAACTGTCACACCCCAATTATTTTTTTATTATTTGGGAATGTGAGGTAAAAGAAAAAAAAACTAAAACTAAAAATTTAATTATCAAGAAACATGAAGATTGAACGTAAACTTCCATTTAAGTCAAAGTAATTTACATTGTATTATTACAAGCAAAATAACAAGAAAGTAACAAACTTTCAACAAAACACTCAAAACTATCCATAATCCGTTCTTCTTGTCCTCAGCAAAAACTACACTTCAGTTTCAAAGCCTGCAATAGATTCAATAAGGGGTGAGCATTACATGCTCAGTAGGGGTCCTATGTCTTATGTGATTGGTGAGATTTATAATGTACAATTTATACAATGCATAAATGAACTTCAATTCTACCCAACCTGTTAATCTATATAATAGGGCAAGCAAATCTGCATGTCCCGTACCATGCATTTTACCACTGTGATTCCGAATGCCCCATTATATAAACTAACACCCATTTCAATCATCCCATAATTCCCCTTTTGCTAGTCATCTTGCCTACACCATTGATCTCCAAGCTCAAATCACCCAATCAACAATTATACCGCCAATTTCCTAATCTACTGTGCACACGGGCTCGCCTGAACTTGGTCCCTACAATGGTTAGACTCAACTACACAAAAGATACTTCCCATTATCCTTTTTTCCATAATTTCTTTATTAACCCAAAAATTCCAACCACCACCGACAACATATGAATATGTCAAAATTCATCATATTATAATGATAATTGACAACATGTATATATCTAATATCAAGGATAACAATCAAACAATATAACCAAGCATAACAACAATCAAATATTATCAAGCATAATGTAGTATATACAATATTTAATTAACTCAATGTATGCAAAACAAAACTTCCCCAAGAAAAACCCCTACCTCAAATCCAAAGCTATTGTACACTTCCCAGTTGAGCTTTTTCCAAAATCTTATCACTTAGTTTCCACTCTCAAATTTTTAAGAAACTAACATAACTTTGAAGAACCTGTGCTTCAATAACTACTAGTTAGAAGTCTTATATAGTGGGTTAGAGTCAGCAAAACAATAGTAGTAGATGAAGCTTTAATATTATGCCACCTAACTAACCTAGGGATCTCTAGGCTACAATCCTATGATTTATAGACTAAATTGGTGGCTTGAAGGAAAACTGCCACTCAATTTAGTTCTTAGCTGTTGGTTTCTGGTGAGTGCTTAGTAGCACTTGCCAATACATTTATATATAAGAACATCTATAATTCTTACACCTCATCTCAAAACATAACACCTCATCTTCAATTGGTCTTTGAAGACTTCAGAATGCAACATGTCAAAGCTTAGTAGGCACCAATATAATTCTAAAAGCTTTTGTGTGTAGATTAAATATTAAAGGAATTACTATAGTTAAAATCATAACAAGGAGGTTTAATAGGCTACAGCTGGATTCACACAGCTTACCATTCAACTAACTAATATATATATATATATATAGTTTTGAAAATTAATAATTATAAATATCAATTTTATGAAATATGAAAATATGAGGTTTCACAATCTATCCTCCTTAAAAGAAATTTCGTCCTCGAAATTTTTGAAACGTACCCGATTCAAGGAAAAGTTCTGGATATTTTTCTTTTATCTCAGCTTCTAATTCCCATGTAGCCTCTTCTGTATTTCCATGTAACCAAAGAATTTTGACTAGTGGAATAGTCTTCGTTCGCAACACTTGTTCTTTATGATCTAATATCCGTATTGGTCTTTCCTCAAAAGATAATTACTCATCTATGTTTAGTTCTCCCCAATCTAAAATATGTGCTGGATCTGGTTCATATTTTCGAAGCATAGAGACATGTAATACATTATGAACATTCGAAAATTGAGGTGGTAGTGCTAACTTGTAAGCTACTTCCCCAATCTGTTGTAGTACTTCAAAAGGTCCAATGAATCGTGGGGCTAATTTTCCAGACTTTCCAAATCTTTTAACTCCCTTTCGAGGGGAAACTTTAAGGAATACATGATCCCCAATATTAAACTTCAATGGCCTTGTTCTTCTATCAGCATAATGCTTTTGCCGACATTGAGCTGTAAGCAAGCGTTGTCTGATAGTTTTGATCTTCTCTGTTGTTTCTTGTACCAAATCAGGTCCTAATAACACAGTTTCACTTGCTTCCGCCCAACATAAAGGTGATCTACATGGTCTACCATAGAGTGCTTTGTATGGTGCCATTCCGATGCTGGATTGAAAGCTGTTGTTATAAGCAAATTCTGCCAAAGTAAGATGATCTTCCCAAGTTCCATGAAATCCAAAACACAAGCTCTTAACATATCTTCTAAAATCTGAATAGTCCTTTCTAATTGTCCATCAGTTTGGGGATGAAATGCACTACTAAAATTCAATTGACTTCCTAATGCTTTTTTGCAAAGCACCCCAAAACTGAGAAGTAAACTTTGAATCTCTATCAGAAACAATAGAAATAGGAATTCCATGTAATCTCACTATCTCTTGAATATATAATTTCCCAAGAGTTTCTGTGGAATCTGTCGTTTTGACTGATATGAAATGTGCAGACTTGGTTAAACAATCTACAATAACCCATATTGCATCTTTACCTCTTGGTGATCGTGGTAAACCTGTGACAAAATCCATTGTGATATGATCCCATTTCCATTGTGCAACAGGTAAAGGTTGAAGAGGGCCAGCGGGTTTCTGATGTTCAGCTTTCACTTGCTGACAGGTCAAACATTTTGATACAAAAATGGCTACATCTTTCTTCATACCATTCCACCAAAACTGACGACGTAAATCCTGATACATTTTTGTACTTCCGGGATGAATAGTGTAGGACGAGTAATGAGCTTCATGAAGAATTTCATTCTTTAATTCTGGAATTTCAGGTACATAGAATTTACCTAAATACCTTAAACCATCTTCTTCATGAAAGGTCCAACCTTCTATTTTATCTCCATCCAAAATATGTTCTTGAATTGATTTACAGGAGTTATCCTCTTGTTGTTTTTCAACAACTTTTCCTAGCAAAGTTGGTCTTGTTACCAGGTTATAAAGATAAGCACCATGCTCAAGTACGTTCACATGTAAATTATAATCTTGAATACAATTCATCATCTTCCATTTCTGAATTTGTAGTCCTGCTACAAATCCATGTGTATTCCTACTTAGAGCATCTGCCACTATATTAGCCTTTCCAAGATGATAATGTAGACCGAAATCGTAATCTTCTAAGTATTCCATCCATCGTCTTTGTCTCAGGTTAAGCTCTTTCTGAGTGAAAAGATATTTCAAACTTTTATGATCAGAGTAAAGCTCAAATCTTTCACCATACAGATAATGTCGCCAAGTTTTTAAAGCATGGACAATTGCTGCTAACTCCAAATCATGTGTTGGATAATTTCTTTCATGATTTTTCAGTTGACGAGAAGCATAAGCTACTACTCTGTCAGATTGCATCAAAACACATCCTAGCCCTTGTTTAGATGCATCAGTGTAAACCACATACCCTAGGTCCCATTCAGGAATAATCAGTATTGGTGCGGTAGTCAATCGAGTTTTCAATTCTTGGAATGACTTTTCACATTCTTGAGTCCATATGAATTTCACTCCTTTCTGGGTCAACTTGGTCATTGGTGCAGCTATTCGAGAAAAATCCTTGATAAATCTCCTATAATAGCCAGCTAATCCAAGGAAACTACGTATCTCCAAGATATTCTTTGGTTGACTCCAATTCAACACTGCCTCAACTTTGGAAGAATCAACTGAAATACCTTCATTGGAAATTACATGTCCTAAAAACTTTACTTGTCTCAACCAGAATTCACATTTATTCAACTTTGCATACAATTGATTTTCTCTTAATATTTGTAAAACGATTCGCAAATGTTCCTCATGTTCTTCCTGAGATTTGGAATATATTAGAATATCATCAATGAATACGATGACAAACTGATCTAAATAAGGTCGGAAAATTCGGTTCATCATATCCATAAATGCTGCTGGTGCATTTGTCAATCCAAAAGGCATAACTACAAATTCATAATGCCCATATCGAGTTCGAAAAGCTATTTTGGGTATATCTTCAGCTTTAACTCGAAGTTGGTGATAGCCAGATCGAAGATCAATTTTTGAAAAGAAATGAGAACCTCTTAACTGATCGAATAAATCGTCAATTCTAGGTAAAGGATATTTGTTCTTTATGGTGACCCTATTTAATTGACGATAATCGATACACATTCGAAGAGTTAAATCTTTCTTTTTCACAAAGAGAGCAGGTGCACCCCATGGTGAAGTACTAGGACGGATATATCCTTTTGCTTGTAATTCTTGGAGTTGTATCTTAAGTTCTTTCAGTTCAACTGGGGCCATGCGATGAGGAGGTATAGAAATAGGTGTTGTACCTGGATATATTTCTATAGCAAACTCTACTTCGCGCTCTGGAGGTAAGCCGAGCAATTCTTCTGGAAAAACATCGCTAAATTCCTTTACCACAGGAATAAGTTGTATTGGAGATTTTTCTACTTCTTCAGTTCCGATTCTAGTTATCTGACTCAAATATTTATAATCCCCAACACCATATTTCTGGCTTTCCTTTTTCACAAAGAAGCTAAAGGTTTCTTCCTTATGAGTATTGATGGTAATTCTCTTTTTACCACAATCAATTGTAACTTGGTAACGTGTAAGCCAGTCCATTCCTAAAATAATATCATATTCCAACATTTCCAATACCATCAAATCAACAACAATTTTATGGCCCAACATCTCTATCATGCAAGATCTACATACTTTATCAACTTCTAGACTACCACCCAAAGGAGATCCAATTAACAAAGAAGGTTTCATATTTTCAGAGTCTAACTCAAGCATTGATGCAAAAGATGTGGATATAAAAGAGTGTGTAGCTCCACAATCAAATAACACTTTAGCCCAAGAGTTGAATACCAAAAACATACCTTCTATTGTCTTAGGCTCAGTTTGATCTGTTACATTTCCCATAACATATACTCTTCCTTGTGTGAATGGTCCAGATTTCTTTCCAGCTGCAGGGACCCTTGGTCTAATTTGGGAAGATTGTCCTCCTGGATGTTGTGGTGATTGACTAGTAACTGGCCTTGCCCAGTTAGACTGAGGTTGAAAAGTAGTATAACTTTGAGGTGGCGGTGGAGCACGAAAAGGTACTTGTGGAGGACGATATAATGTCTGCTGTATTTGAGGTCCTTGATATCTTTGTAGTTGTGGACAAAATCTCTTTACATGTCCCACTTGTTTGCAGTAATAACATAGTGGTGGTCCGAACTTTTCTTGGGATTGAGGAGTATTAAATCTTGTCCGTTTATTTACTTGTCCACTACTTGAATCCCAAGTTCTCTTAGTTCCAGGTCTTTGCTTTGCTATATGTGCTCTATCAACCACATCAGCATACTTGCTTAATTTCAAAATGTCAACCTTTTCCAAAATTGATGGTCTCAATCCTTCTTCAAATCGTTTTGCTTTTGTTGCATCATCAGGGATCATATATGGTGCAAAACGCATGAGTTCTTCAAACTTAGATTGATATTGATCAACAGTTAAGTTGCCTTGGACAAGGTTAACAAACTCCCTTGCTTTCATTGCTTTCATAGTACTTGGAAAATATTTTTCCAAGAAAACACTTTCGAATGCCTCCCAAGTTGTAATTTCAGTATCTGGCATACTCAGAATTGACTCCCACCAAAGGTATGCTTGTCCTTCCAGATAGGTACAAGCAATAACAACTCTAATGTCTGCAAGAATTCTTTGATTATCCATCTTTCTCTTAATTTGCCTCAACCATTCTTCAGCTGCCATAGGATTTGGTTCACCTTTAAATATTGTTGGTTTCGTCTTACGGAATTGTCCTTGTATCCTCATAACTCGATCTTCTTCAGTTTCATGACGGTGATCTTGGTTACTATTTTCTCTAATTGCTGAAGCCATATCCTAAATGGCTAAGATTACTCCAGCATTTCCATTGAACTCATTTCCAGATTCAGCCATCTTAAATGAATAAAAGGAAATTATCTAAAAACAATATCATAAAATAGTAAAATGTAATTTAAGAGAAAGAATAAACAAAACACTCATTTATTATATTTCACAAAATATTTACAAAAGTACACACAATTTTACAAAAACTTAAACTTATCTTACAAAACCTTATGGTTTATTTCTACAACTATAAACATTTATACAACTTTCTTTCTTCAGTACTAGTTTTCTTCATCCGAACTGATAATAATCACTTCGGGTGGTGACTGAACCTCTATAGGCCTAGTGACTGATCCGATTGACTCAGTAGGCTCCCAAGTAGGCTCATTAGTAGGTTCCTGAGCAAATTCCTCATTATCACTTGGTGGATTTGGGACCCGTTGTGGTTGGTAATTACATGGTGGCCACTGATTACCACTTTCTTCTAAAAGTTCTACTACTGCAGAATTATAAATATTGTCATTCTGTATGTTCTCATAGGCACCATCCCAGAATTCTCTCCTTGACCAGATACTATGCATTGCTACCTGTCGTTGCATTGGGAGAGGGTAATGATGTCTCTTTATGGCAGTACTCCTTATCTTTTCTTTCATACAAAATTTTGCGCCATGCCTCAGGTTGTTGTTATAGTTTTCTAGGTTTAATGGTATCAGTCCCTCTGGGCATACATGGAAACCTCCAAAGGTATCGTCACTTTCTATTGATTCCATAGAATCTGTCATTACCAAAATATTAGTATCTAAAATACAAATGAAAGTATATTAGAAACTCAAGTTTTTATACTTCTAAATCTTAATTTCTAAAAAATAACTTAAATGATAACTTCTATTCTGTAGGATTGTATACCTAATGCTCTGATACCAACTTGTCAAACCCCAATTATTATTTTTTTATTTATTATTATTTGGGAATGTGAGGTAAAAGAAAAAAAAACTAAAACTAAAATTTAATTATCAAGAAACATGAAGATTGAACGTAAACTTCCATTTAAGTCAAAGTAATTTACATTGTATTATTACAAGCAAAATAACAAGAAAGTAACAAACTTTCAACAAAACACTCAAAACTATCCATAATCCGTTCTTCTTGTCCTCAGCAAAAACTACACTTCAGTTTCAAAGCCTGCAATAGATTCAATAAGGGGTGAGCATTACATGCTCAGTAGGGGTCCTATGTCTTATGTGATTGGTGAGATTTATAATGTACAATTTATACAATGCATGAATGAACTTCAATTCTACCCAACCCGTTAATCTATATAATAGGGCAAGCAAATCTGCATGTCCCATACCATGCATTTTACCACTGTGATTCCGAATGCCCCATTATATAAACTAACACCCATTTCAATCATCCCATAATTCCCCTTTTGCTAGTCATCTTGTCTACACCATTGATCTCCAAGCTCAAATCACCCAATCAACAATTATACCGCCGATTTCCTAATCTACTGTGCACACGGGCACGCCTGAACTTGGTCCCCACAATGGTTAGACTCAACTACACAAAAGATACTTCCCATTATCCTTTTTTCCATAATTTCTTTATTAACCCAAAAATTCCAACCACCACCGACAACATATGAATATGTCAAAATTCATCACATTATAATGATAATTGACAACATGTATATATCTAATATCAAGGATAACAATCAAACAATATAACCAAGCATAACAACAATCAAATATTATCAAGCATAATGTAGTATTTACAATATTTAATTAACTCAATGTATGCAAAACAAAACTTCCCCAAGAAAAACCCCTACCTCAAATCCAAAGCTATTGTACACTTCCCAGTTGAGCTTTTTCCAAAATCTTATCACTTAGTTTTCACTCTCAAATTTTTAAGAAACTAACATAACTTTGAAGAACCTGTGCTTCAATAACTACTAGTTAGAAGTCTTATATAGTGGGTTAGAGTCGGCAAACAATAGTAGATGAAGCTTTAATATTATGCCACCTAACTAACCTAGGGATCTCTAGTCTACAATCCTATGATTTATAGACTAAATTGGTGGCTTGAAGGAAAACTGCCACTCAATTTAGTTCTTAGCTGTTGGTTTCCGGTGAGTGCTTAGTAGCACTTGCCAAATACATTTATATATAAGAACATCTATAATTCTTACACCTCATCTCAAAACATAACACCTCATCTTCAATTGGTCTTTGAAGACTTCAGAATGCAACACGTCAAAGCTTAGTAGGCACCAATATAATTCTAAAAGCTTTTGTGTGTAGATTAAATATTAAAGGAATTACTATAGTTAAAATCATAACAAGGAGGTTTGATAGGCTACAGCTGGATTCACACAGCTTACCATTCAACTAACTAATATATATATATATAGTTTTGAAAATTAATAATTATAAATATCAATTTTATGAAATATGAAAATATGAGGTTTCACAAAAACCATGCCCGGGGAAGAAATTGATAGTTCTATATTATGGAGGAAGGCTAGAAAAGAAAAACAGGGAAACATCCCCGATCCAATGGCTGCAGAGAAAGCAAGATTAATTGTAAGCTTCACTCACTTTGTTTTAAATTTGAATTTGAATTAAATGTCGTTTGTTTTTCTCAACGACAGCTTTGATTTACCGTCATTTGAAATTCCATAGTACGTCTCTATTTCTGGTAAAGAATGTTGGTTTTCTATGGACTTTGTTAGTCTCTGCATTTGAATTGCTACACAACATGGTATTAATTTTCTACTGTTTGAAATTCCATAGTACATCAATTTTGTCAATAAACCGTCGTTTGAAGTGAAATACCACGACGATTTAGATTTTTGAGTTAGGGTCGTTTTTATTTATTTGTTTTGCAAGCTATTTTCACACACACACACACACACACTCTCTCTCTCTCTCTCTCTCTCTCAATATAAATTGAACAAACAAGTCTCTAAGGGCACTCTTACAGTATCTGGAAGTAATGATGTATTGACTATGGCTTTGGGAACACCCAAGCATGGTGGGAGAGTAAGAGGTTTAGTAGCTGAGGTTTCCCCTAGTCAATACTTTAATATACCCAAATAATAGAGAATAAAGTTTACCGATAAACTCAGGGAAAGTGTACTAGAGGCCGTTAGAGAATAAAGTTTGAAGATGGAGGCTCGAACCAAGGAATTACTAAAAGCTGAGAAGGAATATTTGATGAAACAATTCAACTAATTCCCAATTTTGATCCCATGCTCAAACATCCAATTACCCCAATTCCAATAGTGGCTCAAGAGTAATGTCCCAAAAATTCAATCTGACAAAGCAAGCTGCTCGGTGCTACTCATGTGAGACCCCTTGTTTTAAAGGATGAAATCCCAAGCTTGATAATGTTGAAGCACAGCAAGATGAAATGGTAAATTCTCTTAACATTGCATTTTTATGCTTTTTGAATTTTAATTAGATGTCGCTATTTTTTGTCACCGAAGTTAGAAATCTCAAATAACGACGGTATTTATTTATCGCCATTTGAAATGGAATAGTACGTCGTTGTTGTCAAGAAACCGTCGTTGGAAGTGAAATACCACGACACTTTAGATGGTTGAGTTAGACAACGATTTTATTTTACTTGTTTTACAAGCTATCTTCACTCATCGCTCTCTCTCTCTCTCTCTCTCTCTCTCTCTCTCTCTCTGTGCAATTGTTTTTATCTGAAATTCTGCTAAATAATGATGGTTTTCTCTTAACTTTGTATTTCTCTGCATTTTGCATTTGATTTGGACAACGGTTTTTTTTTGCATTGCGACGTTAGAAATTGGACACAATGATGGTATTTATTTACCATTGTCTGAAATCCTTTACTACATCGGTTTTTTCAAGAAACCGTCATTTGGATTTAAATACCACGACGGTTTGGATGGTTTAGTTATTGTCGTTTATTTTACTTGTTGTACAAGCTATCTTATATATCTTTCTCTATTTCTTGAAGCATGATTTCACAAAGTTAGACTTATTGCCAGCTCCTCTAAAACCCCTTTGCCATTATGAGGAGATGACATTGAAGGCTTTTGGCAAAACCTTGAGAATTACATTTGCAGAGAAAGTGTTTGCCTTTGAGCGTGAAACCGTCATCTTGCATGAAGATATTTTTCAGTTTGCATCCATGGTAGACATAGGAGCCACTGTGATTGCAATATATATGAGGTAAACCTAAAAATCCAATTTTCATTTTACAATTCACTTTATTAAAAAAATAATAATATTAAAAAATTAAATAAAAAAAACTCATTGGATTTCATATATTTAGGTACCTATTTGACTTCTTGAAAATGGAAAATACGGTAAAACTTGTTGGCCTTGTCGACCTTGCTCAAGTTAGCACTCAATCTGGACCGTTATCTCAAAGATCACGGCATCTAGCAAATCAACTTGAAAAGGCAGATGAGGATCAAATTTTCTTGGTGCCTTATAATCTAGGGTTAGTCCCCTTAACAAGATTTTCTTTGTAATTAAGCAGCAACTTAAAACTATTTAACCTCTCCTCATTTTGTGTAGGGGTCATTGGGTGTTCATAATTGTGATACCAAAAAAGGAGACTGTATATTATATGGATTCATTATCATACTGTGTGGTTGATGAGGAATGCAAAAATGTATTGAACACATAAGTTGATTTACTACATTGTAATGTGTGTTTGTAGGCTAAAATAGTTTTCATTAACACCTCGTTGTCTTGAAACAATGCGATCAAAATGTATAATGCCATCAACTCACCACATTTAAGTTCCAAGAAGTTAATCAATGGTGTGATACATCAACCATGTAGCAATGTTGAAAGTTAAAAAGTAATTTTCTTGATCATAATGAAATCATATGATGACATGAAGCATGAACTTCAACCAAGGAGCTGGATTACCCATATAAGATGAATAGCATCTAAGATAAATAGTATCTTGAAGAAGCATTTTAGAAATGGGAAAGTGGCAGCCCGTTCAAAGTCAAAAGAGAATCGCCCTCACCAAGATCTTCCTAAAAGAAATCTAAAAGAGAAGAAAATTAAAAGTTCATCTGTTTATCAATAAGTATGCAATCATATATGATATGATCAAGATACTACAAAACAAGTTGCACTTAATAAAAGCGTATATTAAGGACAACATTGTAACATCCCAGAATCAAAACCCTTGACAACTGATAAAGCATGTCTTTTTGAGTTACAAGAACACAACTAGACAGAAGGATGAATAAGTGAAGAGAAATAATATTAGAGCATCAGAGTGGAAGCGTACACCTGTGTGGACTCTAATTGGATCCTAATTCCTATGATATAGTAACAAATTCTAGAAAGATGCTCTAGATAATCTTGGACGTTGTAACACTAAATGATTGATGACCAAGAGTAGTACATATCTAGGCAATAGAAGTTGATATGTTAACACCCTTTTTCGATGAAAAGCGAATCTCCTTTTTAGGAGTAGTTCCTATCATAGAAGATCAATTCTCTTAAAAGAAGAGAATACTCATGGGGAAATAGCTGCTTAAGCTAAGGAACTCAAGTCTCATCAAGCATCCAAAATTCAAAGAAGACATACATAAATGAGCTGGTAATCCATGACATCGATTGTCTCTAAGTTGCAAAGAAAGTTGATGTAGCATAGATCACAAAAGCCTAGGACATATCGGCTATGACTTGGTAAGCGTCTCAAGTACAAAGACATTGTGTGGCTAATTAGCTTTACGTGCAAGTGGGAGACCGTTAGATATATGCCCTAGAAGCCAATATAAAAATGAAAAATTCTAAGAATATAATATAATAAATACAATCAAAGGGGCGTGAATGTTACTTTAAGTAATAGTTATCCTAGGCCAAGTAGTTTAATTGGATTAAGCATGGAAATGATGAGACCTTTAAAACCCTCAATTATCCCTAAATTAAGTAGATAAATGATAGATGTTTTGAAAGGCTAGTCGTGGCCTTCCACCAAGGTGGATTCTAATTAAGCATGACCCTTGTGATAAAGGTGTGTACTCAGATATGAGGGGGCCTAAAGCAAAGTTCTTATGTTTAAAAGGAGTCCATTTTATACATTGGATGTTGCGAAGATAGGAGCAAACATGGCCAACATTCTAATATGATGAGGATATGTTTGAATCCCTATACTAGCATGCATGGTGGGCTAATACTTAACTAGTACAATGGTGCCTCACGATAATATTCAGAGATACACATTTGCTAGATGCCAAATCATAACATCAAGATGTGAATGAGTAGAAGGACTCTCTTTCTATTATTTGTGATATCCCAAGATCCTATTATGGTGTGGTGATCTGGGTAATAGGGAGCTTCCCATCCCACTAGAGGGTCGTTTGGTATATAGGCTTGGCTTGGACTAAGTTTAGTACCATGTTTGTTTCATTTAATTCTAGTCTTAGATGGGATTGCTAATACCGGGCCCACCAAAAACACCTCCTTAGGAGGGGACTACTAAGCCCATGTAGAAAAGGAGGATTAACTAGTCCTATGTTCACCAATGTATAAGATGCATATATTGTATTGTAATACTAATAACATATATTACTATTATTATTATTATTATTATTATTATTATTATTATTAATATTATTATTACTACTACATACACATATACTATAATGTACATATATACACGTATATATATAAACACATATATACATATATAATATATATAAATACATATAGATATATACACGTATATTATTATTATAATATACCCATATACACATACATATTAATATTATAATAATAGCATACATGTATATATGTAATATATATTATAATACATATATATATATACGTATATATACATATATGTGTATATATATTATACCCATTTATGTATTATAATATACATATACACACATATATACACCTATACACACACACACATATATATATATATATATGTTTATATTATTTATAATATATAATATTATTATAATATACATATATACATGTATATACACATATATGTTATATATATATTATATATGTATGTATATATACATATATATTATATATACATTATAAAATACATATATACAAGCTTCCATTGAGGGATCCCTCAAATAAGCTTATTTGAGGGACACCCTTTGTAGGCCCTACTCCGGATTGTATTTCACTAATTCAAACAGTTTATTTTGTAGATACCAATTCAAAGATCATCTCTACAAAAAATTACTTGAATCCGATATCATTTAACCACTCACTTGAGTTATTGAAATTTTAGTACTTTCTTGAAGCACTGTGTTCATTGATTTTGTAAGACACAATTGGATGTCGAAACGGTTTCCGATTTGTCTAATTTTTTGTCAGGATGATCTATGAATGAAGACCTAAAAAATAGATTGTTCGGATCATTGGGAAAAAAACTGTAGGGTACCCAAAAGGTGTCCCTGAATAGAAGGGGACTGTATATATATATATATATATATATATATGAAAAAATAAAAAAATCTAGTCCTAGTCCAAGCATACACCAAACGCAGGATAAGTGTTATCCAACTAAGACCAAGCCAAGTCAAGCCAAAACAGTACCTAAGAATAGTCCATGCCAAGGCAGTCATGTGTAACAAACGAGCCCTATAGGAGTTTTCAAGATAGAATACTCTCGAGTTCCGCTTTTGAGGGATTGCGAAATTAGTCAAATAGTGGGAAGCGTCATTTGATTTAAAGATCCGGATCAATGGCCTTAAAATCAATCAACTTTAAATCTGTTAGGTTATATTTATTTTGATATATCTACAAACACACATTCCAACACTTGACAAAGAAAGCCTTTGAGGCCTATGTTTCCCAGCTTAGTACCTCAATGTACTAGAGCTAACCCACATCTCACACTCTTTTATGTAAACATTACGTGTTGATCAGTAGAACATTCAGGCGAGTTGCTCCCTCGAAATTGAGGAGCATTACACGGACACTACCAGTGCCATAATTCTTCATTTAAACAAGTTATGAAGAAGAGAATCCGTCACTGACACCTCTCATGTTGTCTGTAATCTTGTCAAAACCTAAATGGTCAAAACATCATCAATCCATAATAAACTGAGAATGATTGAGATCATTGAAAAGTTGGAGAGCTTATGCCTTCCAATACATGAGAAACTTGTGCAAGACTGAACATAATGTATATCTTAAAGTATATAACATGCAATATAGTTGAAGGACATTCATTAGTTACTTATCATATAAAACAAATTTCATATATTTCAAAGAGAACACTTGATAATCATCTTGATGAGCTCCGCATAGGGTTTTGAGCCGTGAAGTCCCAACATAGTACAATACAACCTCCAACAACCAATCCTTCTAGTACCTACCAACAAGTGTTCTTTACAGAAATTTTATTTCCAATAAAATCCATAAGGAAAGTATTGTTATAAGTGTATCATGTTAACTATGGTTAGTATGTTAACTATGATTAGCAAGTCAGTAAGTTTGTTACAACTCTGGTACTTAGCACGTGTATTAGTTAGACAGCTAAGCTATGTGGTTAGCCGGTTATGTCCCTCTGGTTTACATAAGAGTGGGTTATGTTTTGTAAGAGAAAGTAGATTGAAATCAAAACATAGAAATTCTCAAGTCTTCTCCATTTCTCTTTCTCTACTATCTCTCAAATTCTCCTTCTCTTTTCTTTCTGTTATCATGGTATTAGAGCCAGCATCGCTCACGCTCTTTCTTGATCCTCTTGCTTCCACTCTTCAATTCCTCCTTTGTTAAATTCTGATTCAATTCTTCAATTCTTCCATTTGTTCTTCTATTCTTCGATTATTCCATTTGTTCTTCAACTCTTCAATTCGTTCTTTCCTTCTTCAAATCTTAATTTCGTTCTTTGCTTAGGGATTTCTTGATTTTGGGGATTTGTTGTTTTTCTATTCATCAATGGCGACTTCTTCTTCTTCCTCTTTAGTCAAAATTGACGGTTTGCTTAGGATGATTACTCTTTGTCTCGAAGACGATAATTTTCTCAAGTGGAGTTTTCAATTGGAATCTATTCTTCAGGGTTATGATATTTTTGGGCATTTTGATGGAACTGATGTTGCTCCTTCTTGCTTTGCTATTGTTGATGAGGAGGGTGTTACATCTGCAGTTACTGCTGCTTACAAGGAATGGATTCTCACCGATAAGGCTTTACTTAGTTTGCTCATTGCCACTCTCTCTGATGAGGCCATATAGTATGTTATTGGCACCAAGATTGCTCGTGACACCTGGTTAAGTCTTTCCGATCGTTATGCATCAATTTCTAGGGCACGAATCAATCATTTGAAGACTGAATTACAGAAGGCCCAGAAGGGTGGAGATTCGATCGAGCGCTTTCTCTTGCGTCTGAAAACGGTCCGTGACCAATTAGTTCAAGCTGGGGTTAAGGTGTCTGACGATGACTTTATGATTGCTACTCTTAATGGCCTCCCTCAGGAATATGACATGATCAAGACGGTTTTGATTGCAAGGGATTCTCCAATTTCTTTGAAGGAATTTCGCGCTCAATTGCTGGCTGCAGAGCAAACCACAGAAGCTCGATTGGTTCCTCACTTTGGGATCTTCGTTAATCCGTTGTCTTCGTCATATGCTTCTGTGAAAGCTATGGGCTCTTCTAATTCTGGTATGGGTTTATTGCCTACTCCATGTTCTTTACCAGTTGCCTATATGGGGTCCTATGATCATTCTGTTCTGCCTTCATTGGATCGCAATTCTGGTTCAAGACCTGTTCTTGGTAACAATGGTGGTTTTAGTCGTTTTAACGATCATCAGCATTACGGTATTGGCAATAGTCAGCATTGAGGGTTTTCTGGTTTTACTAATCATTCTGGTTCTGGAAGAGGCAGATTTCAAAGCAGAGCCTCTCCTTCATCTTTCTCAGGAAATCGATTTGGTTCCAATTCTTCTCATAAATCTGCAGTTGTTCCTGAATGTCAGATATGCAGCAAACGGGGTCACACGACTGCTAATTGTTATTTTCTTCATGAGGCAAGCTCTTCTAAGCATGGATCTCAGGTTATTGAATGTCAAATATATGGTAAGAAGGGTCATGGAGCCTTGGATTGTTTCCATAGATCCAACTATGTCTATCAGGGTCAAGCTCCTCCTTCCAACCTTTCTGCTATGACTACCCAAACTTCCTATGTGCCTGATCAAGTCTGGATTGCAGATAATGGGGCTTCTCATCACATGGTGTCTGATATTTCCTCCTTAAATCATGTTGCTCCTTGTGAATCTATAGAGCAAGTGATTGTTGGTAATGGAGAAGGTTTGAAAATTAAACACATTGGTACTACTGCCATTGCCTGTGCTTCTACTTCTATTAAAATGCCATCAGTATTTCATGTTCCACAGTTATCTGCTAATCTCTTGTTTGTGCATCACCTGTGCAAAGATCATAATTGTGTTATCAGCTTTGATGCTTCTGGTTTTGTGATACAGGATCGAGTCACCAAGACAATCCTTCTAAAAGGTCAGAGTAATAACGGATTGTATCATATTCCCTCTACTGTATCCTCTCATTGTCTGTCAAAGAAATTAGCTTTGCTTGGTCAACATGTTAAGTCTTCCATTTGGCATCACAGACTTGGCCATCCAATTAATGAAGTGGTGCAATCAATGCTTAGAGCATCTAGTTTGCAGTGTGCAAGTGATTCTTCCAATTCGAATCCCTTGTGTGCAGCTTGTCTTCAAGGGAAGATGCATCGGCTTCCATTTCCTGTTAGACATAGTAGGTATGAAATTCCTTTTCATACAGTTCATAGTGACGTATGGGGACCTTCCCATTACAATTCTGTTTCCTTTCTTGATGATTGTACTGGATATTTGTGGGTTTATCCTATTTTCAATAAATCAAAAGTTTTCTCCAAATTCCTACAGTTTCATGCTTTGATACAAAATCAATTCAATGCTGCTATTAAGTGTTTTCAAAGTGATGGTGGTAGTGAGTTTCTTAGCAAGGCTTTTACAGATTTTTTCGCTTCCAAGGGAATTGTGCATCGTTTGTCTTGCCCTTATACTCCGCAGCAAAATGGACTGGCAAAGCGGAAGAATAGGCATATTATTGAAACAGCCATTACCCTGTTAACTGCAGCAGCCTTGCCAGGTCAATTTTGGTTTCATTCCACTACTCATGCTATGTATCTTATAAATCGAATGCCCAGCTCTGTTTTACATAATCAATCTCCTTATTTCTAGTTATTTGGCCATCATCCTGATCTTGCTTCTTTGAGAATATTTGGTACTGCGGTATATCCGTATCTAAGACATTATAATGTGCATAAGTTACAACTGCAAACCACTTAGTGTGTGTTCTTGGGATATTCACCTGGTTACAAAGGAGTTATTTGCTACAATCAAATTACTGCAAAATGTGTAATCTCAAGACATGTTCTTCATGATGAAGCTGTCTTTCCTTTTAAGCAAATTAACCCTGGTACATGTGGGCAGTCCTCTCAATTTTCTCCTACTGCATCAGTGGCTCCTGTCATTGTTTCTCTGCCTTTAAGGCCTTATCAAGCTTCTCTTAATTCTCAGGATCCATCGTCTCTTGCCTCTGATACACAAGTATCTACTTCTCAGTCTCAGTCCATCTCATCTACTCATGGGTCTTTATCTCCCATCCAACATCAAGCTTCGTTGGATGATATTCAGTGGCTTCTGCAGGTTCTGTACCTATGTTGAATGAACAACAATTACAGGTTATGGTTCCATTTGAGGTCTCCGATGCTTCCTCTTCTTCTGTCAGCCTGCCAGTTTTACCTCCTTTTGAGCATTCATCTTCGGGTACTTCCTCATCGGTTATTTACCTATTAGTCTTATTAATACTCATCCCACATGCATACTAGACTTAGGGATGGCATAGTACAAAAGAAACAGTTTCCTGACTATGTGGGGTATTATACATGTTTGAATGCTCATATTGAATTAGATGAACCTGCAAGCTATATGGAAGCCTCGTTTTCTCCACAATGGAAACAGGCCATGCAAGAAGAGATTGATGCCTTGCATATGCAAAGTACTTGGACTTTGGTTCCTAATCCTGGAAATAAAAACATTGTTGGTAGTAAGTAGATTTACAAGATAAAGAGGAATTCTGATGGTTCTATACCTAGGCATAAAGCTCGGTTGGTAGCTCAGGGATTCAATCAAGAGCAAGGCTTGGATTTTAGTGAAACTTTTAGTCCTGTAGTGCGTCACACCACTGCCAGGTTAATACTGAGTCTAGTTGCAATGAATAAATGGAAGTTAAGACAACTTGATGTTAAGAACACTTTTTTACATGGCGAATTGAAAGAAGAAGTGTTTATGAAACAGCCACAAGGGTTTGCAGATCCACATTATCCTGATTTTGTATGTAAGCTAAAGAAATCATTGTATGGTTTGAAGCAAGCTCCAAGGGCTTGGAATGCCAAATTCACCGGATACTTACCAGCTATAGGTTTTCAAGCTTCATAGTCTGATCCTAGTCTTTTTGTCAGATATTCAGACTCAGAGGTTGTGATTCTCTTACTCTACGTTGATGATATTATTCTCACAGGTTCTAATGAGAAGATGGTTCAGCTTGTGATTGATGAGTTAAGTTCTGTATTTGAAATGAAGGACTTGGGTAAGCTTAAATTCTTTCTCGGCTTGCAAGTGTCCTATGCCTCCAATGGTGATATTTTTGTTAATCAGTCCAAATATGCTAAAGAGTTGCTCTACAAAGCTGGGATGCAATCTTGTCGATCTTGTTCAACTCCATGTAAACCACATACACAGGTGTTAAAAGATTCTGGTGAAGTGTTAACTGATCCAACATTGTTTAGGAGCATTGTAGGGGCTCTTCAATATTTGACTTTTACAAGACCAGACCTTGCTTACTTTGTCAACTCTGTGTGTCAATACATGAATCAACCTACTGATCTTCATTGGCATTTGGTGAAAAGGATTCTTAGATATGTGCAAGGTACTTTAGAATATGGCCTGAGTTTTACAGCTGGTGATATGCATCTCTCTGCATATAGTGATGTTGACTGGGCAGGAGACATCAACACTCGCAGGTCTACAACAGGTTTTGTGATATTTTTGGGCTGCAATCCTATATCATGGCAGTCGAAGAAACAAGGCTCTGTTTCAAGAAGTTCTATAGAGGCAAAGTACAAGGCTTTAGCCAATACTACTGCTAATTTAGCTTGGATTCGACAGGTTTTAACAGATTTGAAGTTGTATCTGCCAGATCCTCCAGTTGCATATTGTGATAATCTGTCAGCTTTGGCTCTTAGCTCAAATCCAGTATATCATTCCAGAATTAAACACTTGGACATTGATTTCCATTTTGTAAGGGAGCAAGTGCAGAAGAAGGATTTGCTGGTTCAGTATGTTTCAACAGATGAACAACTCGCTGATGTGTTTACAAAGGGTCTACATGGTCCTATCTTCTCACAACATTGTGCTCATCTTAGGTTAAGAGAGTGACCTAAGTAGGGAAAGTGTTAATTATGGTTAGTATGTTAACTATGATTAGCAAGTCAGTAAGTTTGTTACAAGTCTGGTACTTAGCACGTGTATTAGTTAGACAGCTAAGTTGTGTGGTTAGACGGTTATGTCCCTCTGGTTTACATAAGAGTGGGCTATGCTTTGTAAGAGAAAGTAGATTGAAATCAAAACACAGAAATTCTCAAGTCTTCTCCATTTCTCTTTCTCTGCTATCTCTGAAATTCTCCTTCTCTTTTCTTTCTGTTATCATATCCATCATCAATATTGTATTCCTTAAAAAGTCCTTGAAAAGTCCTTGATGTTGTTCTCTAACCACGTAGTATAGGCTTTTCTCAAGTAAACATTGTGGCTAAGAAAATGGGCACATCTATCATGTTTATTGTATTTTTGTTTCTCCAAAAAGCCTATATTTGTTTAGATGTGACTTACAGGTTTGGCCAAGTGCTGCCCATTGTCGTGGTAATGCAGGGTCTTGTTGGACCTAATTATATATTATCAGAAAAAGTTGGTTATATTAGATGATCGATTCTAAATAACACACAGAAATCAGAAGAATTAATAAAGTAAAAAAAAACTAGGAAATTAAGAGACATGCATGATTCATACGGGATAAGTTGCTCAGTTGGAGGCCATGAATTGTGAACTTATCTGTCATACGGTGGAAAGCCATTGTAGTACATAAGCTAGTCAATGAGTATTAGTAGCCTACAGAGAAGCCACCCTCGTGAGTCGGGCCTCTTCTGGGTTTGACCGGTCTAGTCTGGACCCGCCATTAAAAATTAAAATATTTTCGACTATATTTAGCTTTAGTTTATTAGTATTCAACTATGACAGAGCTAGAAATTCATGTATTGAGGGCGACATTGTTGGAGAATTAAACCAAATATGCATCATTATTGCATTCAAGAAGTTGCAATATGTTATTATGTTGAGTCTTTTCTTATTCTCTAATATAATAAGTTCATGTATTAATGAATTGAATAAATTGTCAATTTCATGTATTAGTGAGCTGATGAAGAGTCTAAGATATGAGAGTGGGTTAGACGATTATGATAAGAGAAGTCTTCAAATAGGTCTTCTGTCATTGTTATTTCGAGTGCTGAATTATAATGAAAGAGCCTATTCTCCTAACATATTAGTGTCCATTTGTATTGTTTTATTTCTCTTCCTCCTGCGCACATGAGCTGGGCTTGGGTTTTAAAACCATGACCCAAGGGCTACCCAAAAAAAGGTTGGGCTAGGTATGGCTACGGCAGAAATGGGCTTGGGCCCGTTGGGTTTAGGCCAACCTTTTTCAACACGTGAGCTGCAGACCAAATCACGATCCCTTCCTTACTTCCTTAGACTATCTCTAATGCATTTGGACTCAGAACCCAAAATTTTCCATCCCAAGTTCATGTATACAAGTTTCTTAAATAGTTTTTTCCACAGCCTTGGAAACTCAAAATTTGAGTCCCCAATTTTATTAAGTGTTTAAGGATGGTTTTGAACTTCAACTATTTTAGGTTAACTTTTTTTTAGAGTGAACTTTTGTTTATACCTTCGTCTTAAAAAAGTTCAAATTCGGAGAACATAGTTTTATTTCTTTTAAAACTAAAATAAATAACAACATTGAAAATAAAAACAAATACAACAACATTAAAAATAGAATGAGTACCACATGAATTAACTTAAAAACAATATTAACTACACAATTTTTATGATATGCATAAATATAAATAAATAAATAAGTCACTTTGGTCATTGCTGAAATCAACTGATTGTTGATGATATACATGCTAACCAACCCATACATGGCAGTTTGGTTGTTGATCGTGTATACATGAATTGTGAGGGATAACGAACACATGTCAATCTCAAAAACGACTACTTCAACCCAGTCCGATTTGCAATGCATGAGACTTTTACAGGCCGTGCCAAATGAGACAATAACTTTTTTATCGCATCTTGAATGATATTGTCAAGAGCGAACCCTACTTTGCTAAGATATCGAACATTAGGCCCAGCTCATAGAATGTACAAGTTGGGCGATGGCAGAGGGTCCCCCAAAAAATAGGACCTCTTATAAACTGTTTTAGCCCAAGAGTTATAGTAGCAAAAAAAGTCTTTTACGTGTGTAACTGATGCTTTTTGGGCTTTATTCTAACTTTTTCTACGGTCTTGTTCGTTATTTTTCATTTGGGTTGGTCTAGTGGTCCCTTTTTACTTAAACTAACCAACTTGGCACCTAAGCATGAAACTTTTTATTTTAATTTTTGTTGAAAATGAGGTAAATGTGAACATAAAAAGCCTCAAAGTTTATTTCAGCACAGGTCCCCCGAAATCAATAAAACAGCCCAGCAAGACACAGTAGGACGAATTTGTCTATCCCCCAAGAATAAGGTAATGAGCGACTTTTAGATGCTCTCAAATGGCTGCTCTATTGACTCCACTCACTCACGAATACTGTAGATTGGATGAGAGAGCACAATGTTCAAGGAAATTTTGTACTACCATTGAAACCGTTTACGAATCATGGAACCTCTGAGCCCCAAATCCAGTCAAACTTTTTTTTTGGGGTCAAGAATCCAGTCAAACTTTAAAGGATACTCCACAAAGCCAGTGGATAAGGTTTTTAAGGTATGTTGGGGAGTCTTTGACAAACTGCATGTGCTCTTTCACCAATTTTGTAATAGTGGGCCCCGGCCCCTGGGGGCCATCCCTAAAAGCAAAGAAAAGCTACTAGCTCGGCCAGTGCACGGATGCCTTGTTCCGTACGTAGATTAACAAGCTTAACTAGTGTTGTAAATGAAGGAAAAAAAAACCCTGGCCGACTAAGAGAGAGAGAAAGCTTCAAATCCAAGGGAAAACTCCTGGATCTTCAGTGTTCTTCAAATTTTTGTGGATCTATGTCGATATGGTCTTCCTTTGGCATATCTATTGTCTCTGCAACGAATCTGGGCTGGCTTGAATGTGCCTCATTGAGGTGTTGCTACTTGTTCATGGCAGATCTACTATTGATTGGCATGTTAGGGCCATGGAGTAACTATGTGGCGCTCTCTCTATGTCATATGCCAGAGGAAGATTAGTGGCATTTGTCCTTACTTTTTTGGGGTTGTTTTAGATTTTTAGTTTTGGGTTTTTTGGTCAATAATGTCCAAAAACACTTTGAGTTTTATTTTATTTTCTCTCATAATTCAAGAAACTTATTTGAGTTTGCTAGTTGTTCTTAGTCTCTTTAGGAGAGTCATGTCGGTTAGCGCCCAGTTTTGTCCTTGATGTCATTGGACTAAATTTGGAGAAACTATGGTAATAGAAAGGGGTTATAGAAAAGTTATTTTCGAGAGTGATTCTGTCCAAATCGTTTTAGCTTTTCGGATGGCTCATAACCCATGTCTGCCATATTACTATTGGGATTACTCCCTTTTTTTCCTATTAATCAAATAAAATTATATCGTCATTTTATAAAATAAAATAACAAAAGCTATTGTTGTAATGGATGAAAAGAGCAATGCTAGGCATACCACATTTGCATACCACATTGTGTACCACCTCTCTAATAAAGGCGGGGCCCACCAATACAATAGGGTCCATCTCTATTAGAAGAACCCTATATATGGGGAAACAAAAAACTTTCTTGTAACGGTGATATCACTGTTCTGCTATCCCCGGCCAACAACACAGTGACACGTGGAAAACCGAAGAAGAAGATTGCACCAGACTTCCCCACCCGACTAAAATTACCAATTCCCGTTCGCAGCCGCCCTCTGTGTTTCTAATCCTCCTTCCATCTCTCTCTACTGTACTAGCAACTACGTACTTTATCTTACATTTGTTGTTTATTTGCACATTGAAATTCTGCCTATTTATTCATCACCCTCAAAAAAAAAAGATTTATTTAAAAAAAAAAAAAAAAAAAAAAAAAAAAAAAAAAATAGAATATACACAACCACTGCACTCAGCTTTGCCTCGCTTGGCCATCGCCCCCGCTCTCTCAATTTCTCTCCCTCATCTGCATATTCCAATTGATCTAAAATTAGCTTTTGGGTGGGTCGTATATTCAATTGAATGAGATCTGCATATTCAATTAAAAAGCCTAAAGTTTTCTCATATGTTATCGAGAGAGGACAAAGAGATGGTGGGAAGGAGAGAGAGAGAGAGAGAGAGAGAGAGAGAGAGAGTGAAAGAGAAGGGTGCAGCGGCGGAGGGAGATAGTTTGAGTAACTCGTTCTCATTTTTTTCGATTTTTAAAATTGTATTTGAAAGGTAAATGTATAATTTTATATCTAGCTGTAATTAGTTTTAACTTTAAAAAATAAAAATAGACAGGTGGAAAATTTTGAACGGGAATATCCCCAGCTGATGTGGTAATTATAATACAGTACCATTCTATGATTTGAACCCCATTACTCATATTTCCTTCATTGTGTGTCCCAGTTATCCATGCGATCTTTGATTAGGGATATGGTCCGAAATTCCTAACACATCAAGAGAGAGATTTGGCCAAACACATAAATTTAAAATAAATACCAAAAAAAAAAAAGGACCTAGCTAATAGCATATTTATTGCATATATAACACCGAATACATGCGCCTGAGTGACATAAAGAGCCTTAACATATCTTAAGGCAAAGGAAAACCAGAGCATGGTTATTATTATTTTGGAGAAGGTCCTCGGTTTACTTATTTGATGATATCATAAGTAGCTGAAACTGTGGGCTTGTTAATTAGTTGTTGATATCATAAGCTTAATTGGTGAGGGCAGTGCGCTCGTCTCTAGTGGTCAATGATTTGCGCAAGCTGCTTGTTACCAAGGCAAACACACTTTGACAACTGAGGAGGCCAAATCATCGTGCAAGCACAATTTTTACACGACTGGATGCATTCGCTATATGGAATAAGGCGTGAATATTTTTTGTCGCTCATTTCTGCAGAACCTGTGTGCACAACATTATCATCATCATCATCATCATCAATACTTGGTTTTTGAATTTTACAAGTTCTGGAGAATTTTTGCTACTCAATTACCAGAGTCTTGGACTGTCGGCTTCTGGAGACAAACGCAGTCCGATAATTCAATTGGAAAATCAAGTGTGCAAGCGCATGTTCCACAAGATTCAGTGCATTGTTTATATGGAATAGCTACTTGTTTTTCTGCAGCTTGTTCTGTGGAATATATCATGATATATTAGTTCTTATATTGTAACAGAAAAAATTATATATTTCGTGTATCTCAAATACCATCTGACATGCCGACGTGTTGTTAAAAAACCATCCAAATCATAACATTGTACAAACTATATATTAAGCATAACGTAACATGTGTTATATATCATTTGGATGAATTTGGAACACTACAACGTGGGTGGTATATCAACGTTGAGTAATTAATGATTTATAGCTTGAAAAACTATATTAATGAAGTAAAAAATTATTATGAAATATAAATAATAAGTAACTGGTTACCGTATTTCTGGATGGCTGGTTTGTCGGCCACCGTGGTAGAAAGGAGGCAAATACACGTTGCTAACTCCGGCGGATAAATAAGTGTACAAGCGCAGGTTTCACAGGATTGGATGCAATCTTTATATGGAATTGATGCTAGTTTTTCTTTCGAGTTGGTAATTAGCATATATTTCCTCTTAAATATGTCCAAGCGAGCATCAGTTAATGCTGCCGCAGCTACCATCAACAACAAAGTCATCTTCAGCACCACCATCTTCAACATCCTCACCTCTCTCTCTCTCTCTCTCTCTCTCTCCTGAAATGTGTGTTGGAATTAATATGTATTGTAAACAGGGAAGGAGGAAGGCTAGAGAAATTTATAGAGCAAAAGCAGTACAGCATGCAGATGATATACACATAGAGATATTTAGTGATATACCCATTCTTAGCACTAATATTATAGATAAACCCTCCATAATTGAATTTCTATAAACAAACCCAAAAAAAACCCCAAAAATGACAGCTGGCCTTATTGAATTTAATATTGATTATTAAATTACTTTAATGCCCTATTGAGTGTTTTGGGTATTTTTATGAGATTTTGAGGTTGGGCTTGTTTTAAGAAATTTATGGTAGTATTGTAATTTATAAGAAGTTAAGGCATCTTTGTTATGTTGTAAATGAGTTTTGGGTGTGTTTATAAAGTTCATTTCATATGAGATATTTTTATAATTTAAGCCCCCATATTGAGTATATTAGTGAATCTCCCACACACATATTACATACGTGTGCACAATAAGATCAACGCACCAGCATATGCAGATTAGGTGTTCATAATGCAGTTGAACACATGAAGGTACGTACAAAATTACATGCATGCATGGGAAGCTGAGGATAGAGATAATTGAATAATTTGTCGACTTTCATCATTCACGTGTTCTGTCGACTTTTGTGGGACCTGCAGTGCAGAACAAGGCACATCGAGATGATTGAATAATTTGTCGACTTTCATCACTCACGAGATACTCGTATAAGTATAGTGTAGAGCTAAGATCATGCCAAGTGTGATAGATTTAAACCATGTAAGATCGGTCCATTCAATATGTTGTGGTGTTAGAACATTCTGATCATAGTCCTATCAATTTTTTAGTTTAGAAATGGTACATATTTCATGCCCCTATCAGATATTTAAAAATGCAGAAAATTTGGTTACATGACTCTTCTTTTTTTCCTATTCATGCTTTTATTGGCAATATTAGTGATTTTTTTATTATTTATTAACACAATACAGAACATTTTTGGAACATTTAAAACAAACTAGACAAGAATAACAAAATTTATACCATACACATTTTTAGCACTCTACTTCTCATATCATTTGGCATGGACTATATTTCATTACTAAACTTTTAAGTTTTACAATTACAAGAACCTTATTGGCCTCAACCTAGTATTACGTGGTATAACCTGGACATGTAGTATGTGAAAAAATTAGGGAGTTTCACTAAAACACCCAAAATGGGAGCTGAAATTATAAAAAAACCCAACACCCAAAACATTTTATAAATACACTCAAAACTCATCATTACACACACTCAAAACCCATTTATAAACACACCCAAAAAATATACAGTTGTTGACTTTGGGGTTGATTTTGGGTGTGTTTCTATGTTTAAATAGTGTTTGAGTTTTTTTATAAATACATGTCTAGGATTGGGTTTATTTATAAATTTGTAAAAAAATTATAGGAGATTTAAATACTAAATAATTCCATGCTTCTGCTACTTTAGCAAACAAACAAAAAATCTTATTGCTAAACTTAATTTGGATACTGACATTTGGATTACTAATCAATAGCACCAATTTGTTTGTGGAAATATCTCACACACTACTACAAAAAAAGGAAAAAATATGATCAGAAAACAACCATGGTAGAACAAAATACTGTCGTTATTGTGTTTAGAAAGACGACGGTAACAGAAAACCATCGTGGATAACTAACTTAAACACCTAAAAAATCGAGATCCTCTTGGGTATTTCTAAAACACGACGCACCCAACTTAAAAGCGTCATCTTATTGAACAGGTTTTCTTCATACTTGTAAAACAGGCCCTAGGCTCTAAAAGCCTACATAGGGGGGGTGAAGCAGGCTATATGGTAATAACCTATCTTTTTAAATTTTAAGCCCAGCTAAGAAATAATAAGCGGAAAAAATAAACACATGCACAACCATGGTGTTTAATTACTTAGCATCTGCAATGAGTGAACGAAACTGACTGCGTGAAACTAGATTGATACAGACAACACCACGTATTAATACAAACAGAAACCCTTGTGATTTTGGAACAATACAGTGCAACGCCATATTGATCCACGTTAGTGTACTGATGTTATTTGAACAAGATGCAGCAAGTACAACCAATGACAACATGAATATAAACATACACAAAGATTTGTTAACCCAGAAACCCAACAAGGGGAAAAACTGGGGGACCAAGCCAGTAAGAGAATCCACTATCAATGAGAAATACAAGATACAAAGGGAATTGAGCTCCATCTACACTTAGTAGGCAGCTAACTATCTAACCTTCTAGCAAAGCACAATATTAGCTCATCTACACACAATAGGCAGCTAACTATCTAACCTTCCAGAAAAGCACAATCTTTACTTCTCAACATCAAGTTATCTTCCAGTCTTTGCATGAGCATTTAGCTCCAATTGCAACAGACAAATCTTCATGGTTTGCAACAGCACAAAGCTCCAAGTTGCAGAGAGTATAATGATATGAAGTGAGTTGTGGTTTCAGATTTTCATCTTTCTTAATCACAAAGAATTATTAAGCTAGACAAATGAAACCAAGTGTTGTGATGATTAAACTAGAAGTAATGAACTTGAAGCATAGAGTTTAAATCAACAAAACAACAATGAAACAAAAGACTCAGCCGAAATCAATGTGAATATACTTGAAGGAATTTTATGCGTATGCAATCATACTCATACTCTCAAGTAATTAACAATGGCTGAAACAATAAAATAGTTTTTGAATGCTCAAGAGCAGATATAAAATGATTTCAAAAACATAGAACCGGGTCTGCATCAAAGATGCAGATTTTCTGTTTTTATATGTCTAGCATGAATGGTTCTTCAAAGAACTGATAAAAATGAAACAAGTTCAAATGAACTTCTCTACCTCTTCCTTAGGTCTAGCTTAGTATATATAGAGATTTGATTCGAATGAAGAGGGGATATTTGGAGCACAGAGAATCATTCACCCAACCACATATAGTACAAAGAATGTTGTTTGGTGGCTAAAATATCTGAAAGGGCAAGACTGCAGCAAACTTCGTTCCTATCACTACTACATTTTAGTCTTTGCGTGACGAAGGCAAGTTCGTCGCACAAAGATGACTTTTGTCGCACATAATACTGCGCGACAGAAGTTTCGTCGCACACGTTCCGTCGCGCAAAGATCGTGAAGAAAGACTTTGCGCGACCAAAAAATGTAGCACCTTCGTTACAAAAAACATTTGGGGACGACCCAAATGTCTGACGCACAAACGTTTGCGCGACGAAAGGGTGTTCGTCGCACCAAGACTGCGCGACGGATGGTTTCGTCGCGCAAGATTCGTGACATTTGCTCGACGAAAATTACTTTGTCGCTCAATTACTATTTGCGCGATGAAAGACATCGTCGCGCATACACATTTCACGCGACAAAAGACTTCGTCGCGCATGTTTAAATTAAGTGTATTTAAAAATTATTTTTTAACTTTTTTTTTAAAAAGTAATTTTGCGCGACGATATACATTTCGTCGCGCAAAATTAGTATTATTATTATTTTTAATTTTTTAAAAAACTAAATTTGGTTTTTTTTTAATTAAAATGAAATTACAATAAAAAGATTAATCGTAAAGAAAACATTTATTATATAAAATAAAATAAATGTATACAAGAGAAATATTTTAAAAATAATTATGAAAATAAAAAAACTTATCAAATAATGTTCCAAAATCTACATGGTCGTCTGCCATATGCGGCTCGGAGGTCTAGGCGTGCACAGGGATCGTGGTCTGCTGGGGATGCTCGGGGTGGACGGGCTCGGAGGTCGACGCACCAAAATTCGGGATTGGAATCCTGGACCGCGCGAGGGACTGTAGAATCACTGACATCTGACCCTCAAGCTCGGCAACCCGCGATGTCAAAATAGTCACCTGACTGTTTGCTTGCGATGATGACCGCAGTCGAGGTTCCCTCTGTCGGGCATTCCCCATCCCCCTACAATATGTTCTCGACCTCCTCCCAAGAGTCTGATCCAACGTTTGCGTCAAAATCTGAAATCCAGCATCCTGTGGAGTATCCACAGACTCGATCGGAGTACTGAGAGGAAGTTGGGAGGCGGACTCCCGAAGAACTAACTGGCTCCTCTCCACCATCGTCGTCTGTTTAACATTACATAAAATATAAATTAAAACATGCATATAAATTGAATGCGTAACATAAGAATTAAAATTAAATAATACTTACATGAAGGGACTCGGCCAACTCATTCCCAGGTCGAACATAAACGTCACCAAAGACGTCGATCTCTGGGAATTTCACCCCCCCCCCCCAATTGAACAAGAGAAGAAAAATATTAGTATGAACAAAATAAATTAATGATAATGACGTATTAAAAATTAAATATAAATTATTTTATTCTTATCCGTCGCCATGCATCCATCCTATATGAGAAGGGCCTGGAGCCGAAATGGTGGAGAAGAGTCTTCTTCTTCCTATTGCCCTTATTCACTTGGGCTTTATTCTGTTATACAAAAAATAAAACGTATTAGTTGAAATATAAATAAATTAAATAATAATGACATATAAAAAATAAAATAAACATTAATAAGAAATATGTAATAATTAAACAAATCTTATTTAAAAAATACCACATAATCGGGCGCCTAAAAATGAGTGCAGAGCCACGCCTAACTATCCTCCCACCCCTCAAACTCCTTCGGGCAACCCTCCTGAAGAGCGACTTGCGGATCATCAAACACCTCAAAATGGTGGTGCAAGTCGCTCTTCCACTGCTTGTACCTCTCATTGAAGAGTCTGTTGACGTACGCCAACGACTCCTCGTTGAGGTCCTCTAAGTTGTAGTTCGTCTGCAATAAATTAATTACATACATTAAGTAATAGAAATATATAAAATTTGAAAGAAAAATAATTAAAAGGTAAGATACATACCGACAACTGGCCGCAAACCTCCATCTTGATCTCGTCAGGCATGACCTTCCAAGACTTCCATTGCATCGGGCAATGGGTCCGAATGACGTGGCCAATATCGTGGGCCAAGGAGCTATGCAACTCCGCCGTCGGTGCAGCCCGATGGCGCTCGTCGTATCCGATGCTGATACGACTGTTGGTCACCCGGGTGACCTTCGCCGTCTTCAGCTGCCGACACGGCCCTTGAGTGTTCTTCTTGGCTGCAAAGAGATATGACAATAATGTTAAATAAATAACAAATTTAACTGTAAAATTCCCAATTAAAAAAATTAAAAAAAGAACTACGATTGAAGGATATATAATTGGCTGTGACCCTGAGGCACCAGTACCGTCGGTCGATGTGGTGTCGGTGGTGCTGGCGGGCCGGTGCCGCCGCCTAGCTCTAACAGGCTGCACCACCAATGAAGCTGATGATGCAGGCACCTGGGATCCCCTGGGACCAACTAGCATGTGGTCCTGCTCCATCAGTGCTGGAGCAGTGGCAGCTGATGCCGGCTAAGCCGGGGGCTCCGAACTCGGTGTAGTCGTCACCGCCCTACGACGTCTATTCAAGTCTGACATCGACACAATTTCATTAATACACATACAAGTTAATCAAATTTAAGAATACATACTTAAGCACATACAATGTCATTAAGAAATTGAACTAATTAATTAAAAGCATAGTTTGACCTTGCGATTTCGGAGTATCCGGGACAACGATCCACGATCCGTCGAATCCTAAACGATCCTATAAATACATGGTACAACATTCATGAGTTTGAGTTCGATCCAACGGTCCGAACATATCAAACCCGGAAATCGCACAATAGGCAAAATCCGTTCGAGACTCAAACGGTAACCAAATTCCAATCCGAACACACCTACGCGCTCGTGACAACTAGGGGATTACACTGGGACCCAATGCCCAATCCTACAGTATCCCACGCACCACCACACGCGCCGGCAGCGCGTGGGTGCCCAAAGCAATAACAACCGCCGGAAAATCCTAAAAATTAAGGGCCATGGTTCCTACCCTAGGTTCGAAACATCAATTGGAGGCACTTTTGTTCTCGGACCTACTCCGAAAAACGGCCGGAAGTGGCCGGAATAATAATTCAAAAATCGTCCGAAACCTAGGGTTTCAAATCCATTGCCCTATTCAAACAATCAATCAAATCCTACCCAACCATCAGCTAAAGCATCAAAAATAGTCCAGAAACCATACCTCAATTGCCTGATTTGGTGCCCGAAGGAGAGAGAACAACGGCGGTGAAGGTTCGGTGAAAACCGAGCAAATAACGGCGGCAGGATGGACGGCGACGGTGGGGAAGCTCCGGGATTCAAGGGTTGTGGCGACCGGGTCTCAATTGGGTCGGAGTAGTGCCTGAGGTGACGGCGGAGAGAGAGAGAGGGTTTAGGGCAAATTTGACAAACTAGGGAAGAAGGAGAAGCTTGCAAGTTTCAGAAAACTTATTCGACTTTGCGCGACGAAGGATTAAATGCGTCGCGCAAAATCATTTAAATGAATTTTGCGCGACGAAATTATAGACAGTTCTGTCGCGCAATGTTGCCACTCCGCTAAAATTTGGGATCTCCGCTAAAACGAAGAGTAATGTACGTCGCGCAAGGTTCTGAAATTATGCACTTTGCGCGACAGAAATGTTTTATTTCGTCGCGCAAGTTTGTCCATCCGCCCAAATTTTGGGATTCGATTTTGCACGGGGAGATAAATTAAATAATCTTGCGCGACGTAAGGTATATTCGTCGCTCAAGCTCTGATTTGCCAAAAAAATTACTAAGTGTTAGGAGTGGAGGGGCTGAAATTCCTACTGAGATTGCGCGACGAAGGGTACGTCCATTCGTCGCGCAAGTCTATAATTTGTCAAAAAAATTTACTAAGTGTTGCGATGAGGAGGGATTGAAATTCTGTCTAAGATTGCGTGACGAAGGCCAAACCCTTTCGTCGCACAAGGCTTTGTAATGGCACTTTGCGCGACGAAAGAATGTTTCATTCGTCGCACAAACCCTTCCCCTTATACCCTAAACCCTAACTCCTAAACTAGTTTCAATGATCCAACCGGCAATCTTGTTTTTTTATACTTCGAGATCGTATACGTCGAAAATTGGAAAAAACAAACATTCAGAGATTAAGTAACGGGACAAAACCTTTCGACAGTTATAAAAGAAAAAGTCAGGATTTAACGGTTGTTTTAACTCCGATTTTGAAAATTTTTACAGCTGCATTTGTTGACTGAATATGAATACAATGATTGAATTTGATCTTCAATTTAAGATATTTACACTATGGGATATCACATAATCTTATGTTATATTTAAGGAAAGTATAAACAAACTCTTCATTGTTGGTGAATATTGTGTTTTCATGGCATACGCATTCTACGAAACTAGTTTCAGTAATCCAGCCATCAAACTTGTTTGTTTATACTTCGAGATCATAGACCCCAAAACTAAAAAAAAAAAAAAAAAAAAAAAAAAAAAAATTTCAAGTTTAAAGGACAAAACTTTTCGACGGTTATAAATGAAAAGTCATGATTCAACGGTTGTTTGAACTCCGATTTTGATGATTTTTCATAGCTACACTCCTTGACCCTATATGAATACAATGAACTAATTCGATCGTCAATTTGAAATATATACGTATGTATATATTACAAAATATATATATTTGCGCGACGAGTAAGTTCTTTTCGTCGCGCAAAATTTCTTCGCGTGATGAGTAAGTCCCTTTCATCGCGCAAAATTTCTTCACGCGACGAGTAAGTCCCTTTCGTCGCGCAAAATTTCTTCCCGCGACGAGTAAGACCCTTTTGTCACGCAAAATTTCTTCGCGCGACGAGTAAGACCTTTTCATCACACAAGGATGTGGCGCTATGTCAGATTGTTTATCATTTTCATTTTTTGAAAGTGTATTAAAAGGGTTTGGATATATTGATTTACCAACGTTTTATAACTACATTTATTTAAATAATATTTTATTTCTCCACATATATAATGTTTGGATATAACAAGTAAGTATATTCAAACATTTTTAAATAGTTTTTTTTTGGACTACCCTAAAATAGATCATAACTAACATATTTAAAATATATTAGATTTAATGTTGTCATACACAACATTTTAAAATTAAAGATGCATACATGTATTTTATGAAATTTTTTTAACTAGTATAATGCAATTATACAACATGAAAATTTTTTTCGGTCTCCCAATCCTCCTCCTCTTCATTATTGATTTACCTAGTATAATGAACTTATTTTTTCTTCTAAATAATGTACCTATTTTTAATTTATAAAAAATGTGCATAAATTTCAATTATACAACATACCTATTTTCTATAAATTATTGTGTACCTATTTTTTACACTTCCTTATTTCAGCAGATGGATCAGAGGAACGTGTTTGCTATACCAGAACTAGACCCAACTGACAACGATGTTGACAACGTCACTGACCAATGGTTGGAATCTTCCATGGAAACTGATGCAGAAACACTTCGAGATACAAATGTTATACAAGAACCGTTTCATCTTCAAGGAGTGTCTTCAATCGAAATACCAATTCAGTCAATTACAATTGACCTCGGTGATATTCCGCGATACGAAGTTCCAGTGGGCTCGAACAACGAAAGTGATGAGGAGGAGGATTGGGAGACCGAAAGTGATAATAGTGAGGATAACGAAACTTATTATAGTTCAGATGATGAATAATGCAATTCATTAGCGACTACCCATGTAAAACATAGTAAATGAAATTTGTTGTAATTTAATTATGGTAGTGTAAATATGGCAATACAATACATAAAGAATACAATACATAATCAAGAAAGAAATGGACAAAGGAAGAAGTTTTCTTGAAGCAAAAAGATTACAAAACCAAAGCTCTCTTTGTAACAATGTGAAAAGCAACACACTAATATTTTTGCTAATAACAAACATAGTGTCAACATACCGATATATCGGCAAATATATCGGTATATCGGCCGATATTTCAATCCTTGGAGTGACTACAAATCTCTTGAACCCTTGTAGTCCAAGAGATCAATCAAAAACAGGTTGAACTAGTAATTTAGTAGTATAACATGGCAACGTCTACGGTCCTTTGGTGCATCGGTGCACCAAAGTCCTTTTTACTAGTTCCTCAAGTAGCATATTTTTATTTATTTATTTTTGTTTTAAATTTGTCTTATTTAATATTTAAACAAAGTAATATTTTTAGCCTTTTCAAACCCAATTAATTCAACCATATTTAAACTCAATTAACCCAACCAAATCTTTTTTTAACTAATCCATTGCAAAATAAGTGTTTTGATTGTATGTCAATTTATATTTTCTATATACAAGCAATAATGGAAGAGGAGAGTCAAACCTAAAACTTAACAACTTAAGCTACAAAGAATAAAAACCATCCCGAAGTTTGCTTCCCTTTTACATCCCCAAGTTGGGGTGGTTTTTTTTTTATTTTCTTTATCGAGAGGAACTTGAGAATTTGAAACTATTATCTAGTATACATAGACAAGGAAGATGTCTATGAAATTGCTTGAACAGGAAATGTTGTTGTATATCTTAAAATGCAGTCGCATATTCTCAAATGGTATTTCGATCAAATTGCATTTCTAAGAATCCAATTTGTAAAATGATAACGATAATGATCATTGAACTGGTCAACCATTCTATGTTACATGATTGTGATTTCGTATAAGTTCTAGAAGTATTATATATTCATGTTGAATTTTTTCAAATATTGACAAAGCAAGATTTTAAATATAAAAAGTGTAGATAGGACTAGTTTTACATTGTAGTGAAAATGTAACTAAGTTTAAAATATGTAAGGTGAGCTGATTATATATTCTTGTTTGGTTGTTATGCACATCATTTGTTACCCATAATCAGAGCCTAGCACATCATTAAATTCTTCACTTAAACATAACAAAACCTTTACTCTATCCTTACTCGATTTTGGTCACATGCCTGCGCCGTTTAATCTTTATCCTGCGAAATCAATACTGATTGGACCGAGTTGAATCCGTTGAACTTTGAGAATTTGCAGCCTTCGTTGACATTGTGTAGTTCTGCACTTCGGTTTCAATTTGGGGAAGATAGGAAGAAGGAAGTGGATAAAAATGGTGCCTTTGTCGTTTAAGAGCAGACTTGTGGACACTTTTACCCTTTAATTTGACGGCAATATTGACAGAGTGTAACGGTAGGACCAATGCACCAAATAATATAGAGTTGATGGATCATTTGAACGAATAATTTAGTTGAGGGACCAAAATGTAACTGGGGTATAAGTTTGAGGAACATTTGAGTAAATAACCATTTACTATAAGTAGGACCCCATTTTACTTCACTAAGGTTAACTCTTTACCATTTCCTTGTAATGTGTATCCATATCCGTGTAAAAGGAGATTTACAATATTATGGATTGGGATGAACTATAACGTTGTAATCTAATTGCAAAACCCTG